CGGCACATTTCACGAGTTTATTTACACGTTAGCTCAATACACAAATCACAGGTGAATCCACTTACAGCATTCGGACAATAGACGTTGACATATTCACAGCTGGCTTTGACAATCAAACAGGGTACCATCACAGCTGACCTTCTCGATCATTCATTCCTCGCCGATTCAAATCCACATGCTCTAGTCATTCTCCATTCATCTTCACAGCTTCATTTTCCATCCTTTCTCTCTGGGGCCCAGTCACCGAATGCCCGCCTGATTCTCAATCCCCCAGATCTCCTCATTCACACGTGACACACTCTTTCCTGTCGTTTCACCATATGCTCTCAGGGACTTCCCCAGTTATGCCAATCATCCCCTGACATTATCCCTATTTATAACATCATTACAACCCTTGACACACTAGGGTCGTGGAGCTGTATCGATTGGAAGCACCAACACACAAAACCCGCCATCTTTCTCTGTCATCCGCTTGATGAATAAGTGGATGATAACTTAGTCCTGTCAATTTTTAATGTCGTCATTCCAGTTTCTTCTTTGCCTTCTTCTTCAACTACCCCCCAATGTTCCTTGAAGTACAGTCTTTTCAGTGGAATCATGTCTCATGACGTGCCTGAACCAAGCTAGCTTGCAACGTTTCACCACTACCAAGAGACTCTCCTGATGTCCGGCAATTTTGTATATTTCGACATATTTAATGGTTTTTTGTTCAAAATAACAAATTCATAAAATTCTGTAGCATTTACATTCAAAAGCCTGAATCCTCCTTTCCATTTCCACAGTGAGAGTCCAACTCTGACATCCATGTAAGAAAATAGACAGTACCTTTGATTTGTATATATTGACCTTAACTGTGGTGCTGATTTTGCTCTTCCACATTAAATATTGTTAATTTATACTAATGTTTGTATCTTGTATTATGGCTTGACAGAGGAAGAACAGTCTTTCTTCTATTGATGATCTGTCTACATCCCGCCAGAAAGCCAACGCAAGAAAAAGTGTTCCTGACATGGTCACGGTCTTGAAGGATCTCGGCAATGTCAAGCTGCGAGCCATAGAAAGGTGAACATTAATTCCTGTGCTGAACTGTGTTGACCCTCTGCCTCTACCTCCCAACAAGCATGCTGTAAATGGTCACTAATTACGGGTTAGCTGAAATTGGTTGTGTTGAGCAAAAAAGTGCAGATATTACCGCCTAGCTGAAACCACACCACAGCACGCCAGCTGTCCTTTTATGGGTGGATACTCATAAAAGGTGAATTTCTATGTTTTGTTTAGCATAGTAATGTAATGAATCTTCAGGGAGTGTTCTGGGAAGTAAAAGTGGCCTGGGAGAATTAAGCACATGACCTGTTAAGTGCAGATTGGTCTATATACAATAATTGTTGGTGTGTACGACACTTTCTTATATAAGATGCACCCCAAAAATTTAATGACATTTTCCAGGAAAAAAACTTAGATTTAAAAACAAATATAACAAATGTTATTTATTCACTGACCTTCAGAAGTCTTTAAATTTACTCCCGTCGAAAGTCATGGCCATTTCGTCCATATTGCCAGTCTGTCCCAATGCTGGATGACAAACAGTGGCAAGAAATAATTACATTCTTCATATACCTTCGGCATTCTTAGTTTATGTTACATGTAGGTCTTCCTTTGTTGTATGGGATGTAGCTTAATTTTAAGATCTACTTTAACCAGTGGAAAGATCTTTGGAAAGAGAGAGAGGAAGACAGGGTGAGAAGGTTCTTGACAGTCTTTTGTCATTATAGGGAGTGTTGTCAACACACAAACTGATACATATAGTTGAGGATCGCAGATTGTGGAGAGGCATGATTGCCCATGTCAGTTAGCTAGGCACTTGATGAAGATGAATTTAAGAACAGATAAGTGCCTTTTATACTTTTATACACAGACAGCTGCAATAATTTAGGGGGGGGGGGGGGGTCATTAAACACCATGTGCCAAATGAACTTTTAGGCATAAATAGGGGTGCCCTACTTAGTTCATTATACATTTTAAACACTTTGTATAACTGCCTCGAAGGGTCTGGTTTGACCAACTTTGCTAACTGGTGTATCCTAGGTCGCCAGGTGGGACTCCAGTAAAACGACGGCTCGAGAGGGAGCCAACCGATCCAGCAGCCATCATTGCCCAAGCTTTGAAGAAGAAATTTTCAAGCCATTGGGGTTTCAGTTCAGAATCTGACAAAGATTACGATTCAAGTTCCTTTGCCTCAGATCATTCCACTTCCGTAAGTCATTTAGACAGCATGTTGCTGTTTTTTGGTTTTGTTTTGTTACATGTTGCTGGTTCCTTTAGCAGAATAGCGCAACCATATAGATGTGATGATTTTGAACCCCTTGTTTTGTGTGTTTGATCTAGTGCTTTGGAGACTTTTGTTTTTGTCTAATACCTTGGCTTTTATAAATGTCAGTTAATATTTATAAATTTATTGTTGTTTTATAGCTTCTCTTCTCAAGAACAGTGGCTTCTAGTTAGATAAGACCCGCTGACACTTTCTTATTTTCAGTGTCTGCCGCAGACTTTGTACGTTTTAATAGTCATGTTTGGTTAAAAAAAAGAATAGTAGAATCCCAGAAAAGAGGGATGAGGTTTTTTCCTCAGTGAAATAAAAGACCCCTTAAATTTGTTCTGTAGACTTCCAAAAGGTCTGAGGACCTCTAAATTTAAACCACTGCTCTCGTGTTTCTTTCTTGTGATACATTTTAAAAATTTATTCCTATTTAAACATTTTTTAACCTAGGTGCCAACTGGTTTATAAAAAGTATGCAAATGACATAAATATGGGCCAGCTGCTTTACTTATTTAAAGTAATTGACTGTTTGTCTATGTATTCACTGGATAAACATTTCTCTGTTGGGCTAACTTTGTGCATGTTAGATAAAGTGGCTCAAACACTTTTTGCCTGGTGTACCAGTAGTGTGATAATTATTCTTCACTTACTAAAAGAAATGTTCAGTCCAGCTGTGAATCTCCTTATGTGGGATTTGGGGAACACCAATTTGGGGGAAGAAAGAATAGACCCACTGCGATCTAAAGCATGTCATAAAAGGCAACTAACTTGAAGTTTTTTTTAATTGGATTTGTTTGGCCAAAAGGTGCAGATATCACAGCCTGGCTGTAAACTGCAAAGCATGCCAAAGAACAAGAATCTTACCTGGTGGAACTGGAATAAAATATGTTAAATTACTGACTGACTACTACTTATAGAGAGTTGCCGTGATGTAGCAGCTAGATGCTCGCCTGCAGATCTAAATGTCATGGGTTCGGGTCTTGATGGAGCCATACTTTTTTTTAAAAAATGACCTTCTTTGCCAGGTCAACGTTGAATGGGTACCAGGCAGAGTCCTGGGAAGTAAAGGTGGCTGGGGTGATGTTGATCACATCACCTACCGGGTGCCGACTGATCTATAAAATATAGGTCTATATGCTCAATACGCCTGAAGGTGTGGGAAAGGGACCTTTACTTTACTGCTACTTTTGAAAACTAAGAGACCAGAAACATTTAATGGTGGAACACAAGCAACAGCAAATTAATTAAAACCTGTAGAAATACATGTTTGGCTTTTAATTTCCACATTCACTGTCTAACTTTGTTGGCACATCAAAGAACAATTGTTTTGTCAGCAAAGCAGCATCATCATTTGGACATAATAGGTTCAAATCTAGTGAGCTTGTAAATTTTAATTTTTCTGCTATCTACTGTCTACGTTAAAGTCTACTTCTTTGTACTTCTGAGTTGTTTTTTTTTTTCTTTTCCCTTGTGATTTCCTCTTATAATTAATTTCTTCCTATTCTTCATGATTTGCCTTATCCTTTTTTTTAAATTCCCTCTAATTCTTCATAATTTTTATAAAAATCTAAACCTTAATGATTTCCCTTATCCTTTAGGATTTCTTCTTCACCTTTGTTATTTCTGTTTATCTTTCTGTTATTTTATATTAATTCCCACCATCTTTTTTGGATACCTTACCCATTAGAAGCACCCATCAGAACTTTATGTTTAGACATGAAATCATGAGATATTCTTCAGTGTTTGTCTTTCACTTGTGCAATAAATTGAAGTAAAAGAGTATGATGTGATGACAGGCATCAGTCAACTCATCCCTGTTTAGGGATGTTTAGACATGAAATCATGAGATATTCTTCAGTGTTTGTCTTTCACTTGTGCAATAAATTGAAGTAAAAGAGTATGATGTGATGACAGGCATCAGTCAACTCATCCCTGTTGTGAAGAATGTCTATTGCTCTTTAGGGCTCAATACTTTCATTTTCAGAGTGATTTATGAGAGTAGATGGAAGTCCTTGTGTATGTTAGTCTTAACATCCAGTTATTGGTGAGTGCTTACCTTCTTAACTCCCATCTTAATCAGTCAGGTACCATCTGCACAAAGAAGGTTGGCTGCAATCCAATTCCAACGCTGTCTATCATCTTTGTATACTATTTCAGACTGCTATTTATCTATCTCTTGGTATTATCATTCCATTTGTATAATTATCTACCTACCACTTGATCACCTGCTTTCACCTTTTCTCCCTAGTTTGGTTTTTAAGTGTATTATGATTTTTCCTGTTTCGCCATTCACATGCAGTATTTATTCGTCAAGACTCCAACTCTTGATACATCTTAAAATGAATTTACTTAAAGCTGCAATTTCCAAAAGCAGTCACTGTTGTTTAAGTTTCCATCTACATTGCCTGTAAACTTTGAGAGTGATGAGTTATATACTGCACTTTAACTGTAAAAGTTGTTGGGAAAAATATCATATGATGTTGTTCACTTGTGTATGAACCTTGTGTGGGTTCCGGGTCCCTATTTATGGGGAAACAAGAATAGACCCACTGCCCCGAAACAAATTTGTCGCAAAAGGCAACTAATTAAGATTTTACTGAAATCAGATTTATTCTGACTGAAGCCAGTCAGACAGTTCATTAAATCATACAGTTCATTGAAGAACAACAACTGAGATGGTTTGGCCACCTGACGAGAATGCCCTGGTACCAACTGCCACAGAGAGCCATGCTGAAGAAATATAATGAACACAGAGCGAGGGGAAAACCACGCAAGAAATGGAGCATTACTGTCTGTGGCAACCTAACAGAAATGAACATCAACTTGTACAATGCATTGAAAAAAGGCAACAAACAAACCTTGCATCTCCCCCCAACAGCTCACTGAGGTTAATAGTGGAACAGAAGAAGAAGAAGATTTATTGGGCCAAAAGGTGAAGATATCAAATGTAAGCTCTAAACCGCAACACAACATGCCAACTGCTCTTTTAAGGGCAATTGCAGAAGAGTGACAAAAAATAAACTAATGGAGAATGGTGAGACTTAGTTCCCTCCTGCTCGGCGAATAACACTAATCCTAAGCTAAGTTGTCATAAGCAAGAATTTGTGGCACCCTGGAAGGAGCAAGGCCTTAGTTACCAGATCCTAACTAGGAGCTGTTGATTGTGCTTAGTTTACTAGGTCCTAACTAAGGGGGTGGGTTGACTAAGCTATGTTTATTGGGGGAAACTACAGCATATCTCAAGAAACTTATCATGGAAGCCAAAAATGTGAGGCAGGAGAGCTGGCGAGACCGAGTTTATTTCAGGCAGACCTTGATGAGAGCGATGTTCTGCAAAGGATCTGCTACATGATGATGATGATTCAAACCATACTGGAAGAAAAAATAAATAGCCAGCGAGCAAGAGCCAGACAATGTTACAGGTGGAGAGATTACCTCAAAAGATAGACAATCAGAATTCTGCGAGAGGGTACATCCAGTGCGAAAGACAGAGCATGCTTGCTTCTATTTTCTTTTAATTCACTGCGTAATACACACTTTTCTTCATCTATTTTGTTCCTTCTCCTTGCTCCTCCATTTTCTTCTTCAGCCTTCCAAAGCCTTGAGGTTATTCCTGCAGATATCACATACCTCCATTTATTTCCGTGATTGGCCTTCGTTTCCCTTGGTGACTCCAAGTGTTGTCTGTTTTGAATCCATTTTATTTCATGGATTAAGAAATCTGTTTCAAGATTAAATGAAGTTTTACAAAAGTAGAGCTGTAAGCCCTACCTTGAACCCTGCCAACCTGGAAGACTAGGGTATATCTCTTTGTTCTCTACACTTTTAGCTGTGCAGCTTGGGAGGTCCTGATGGTAGTATACTACCATGGGCAGAACTCTCACAATCGTTGAAAAACACAAGCTGCCCCACATTACCAGTATAGATTTTATCCCATTCTGAACCTAGCATTTATTTTGTTTCTCTGAACAATTAACACCTTTCCCACACAATATTCCTCAAGTTCTGAACACAGTGTTAATTTTAATTTTAATTTTCCACAAAATACAAAACATCTTTTGCATACAGTATTCATCAAGTTTAGAACATAATATTTATGCCTTAAGTTTCCACAAAGTACAGACCTTGTTTCCTGTACAATATCAAATTCTGAAAACTAATCTTCTTTCTTTACATAATTCAGACTTTTTCAATACATCATTGATCCATTTCTAAATCATAATATCAACCTTTCCAATAGAGTATTCATCTGTTTCTAAAAACAGTGTCCATCCAAATTTATTTCACAACACAATATTCATTTCTTTTCACAGCAATTCATCTTGTCTCTACCAGAGTAATTGTCCAATTTTTTGGTTTTCATTAAAGTATTATAAGAGGGAGCGAGAAAGAAGATATTGAAATTGTTTACTAAAGTAACAGAGTAACAATTATTTTTATTATCTGAGCAAACTGGAAGGTACAGGAAAGCATTTTGTTTTTAATGAAATCATGTGAAGTCCTGTACATGATGAAACTAGTAAATGTAATTACTCCATGTATAGTATAATTGTTTGATTTTTATCACAAGAGAGCATTCTTATCAGAGATATTTTTTTTTTTTTTTTTGCTAAAGAAGTGGGGGCTAGTAGTATGTGGTGGAATGGAAATAGCTGCAACTCTTATTCTTCTTCTTCTTCTTTTTCTTCTTCTTCTTTTTCTTCTTCTTCTTTTTTCTTCTTCTCTTTCTTCAGCATTCCGAGCCCTTGAGGTTCAGTGAGATTGTGCTCTCATGAGGATCAGTGGTACATAATCTCAATCATTCCGTAAATGGCAGTGTTTAAGTCAACCTGGCGTATAACTCAACCTGAAGATTTTAAGCAAACAATTCCTCGTGTATTTTATGCCAACCACATAAGTCAAAAGTCTAATTTTTGAAATATTTTTTATAGTCTAAT